TGCGTCGGTGCTTGCGCGCGTGCGGTTACGCCTTTTCATTATCGTTACACGTACGGGGCTGTATGTGCTGTATGTATAAGTACGGGTGCGCGCGACGATGACGATGCACTCGCGGCTGCGTCGTACAGCGGCAACATTGTTATAAAGCGCGCAAATCCCCCCAGACTCGAAGCTCTCCGTGCGCTCGAATTAAATGTTATGCATCGGGAATATAATGATTTATCCAGCAGCTGCATTTTTTCACGCGAGCGCAAAAATCTAGAACGAGATAACGACTGTATATTTCAAGGGAAAAATAATAATAATGATGGGTGCGCGCGCGTATATGTGCAGCGATGCGCGCTTGCCCTAAGGCGTGATATTACGTCGATACACTTATTATCTACCTACTATATATAATAGCTATATGTGCCCTTGCAATTTTTCGCGCTGGTGTTAGGAGCAGCAAAAGCGTCGGAGGCTGTCTTTCTCTCTCCCCCCCTCTCATTCTGCTCTCTCTCTCTCTCGCTCATTCTGCGGACAACGCGTTCCGCTCGATAAGCTCGTTAATTGGATATACGCGCAAAGAAGAAGAAGAGCAACAACAACAAAGTCTTTATATACACGTATAAGCATCGCGATAGCAATGCCAAGACTTCCGTGCGCACACGACTCGTTGGTCATATCCTATTGTCTTCTTTCTCCTCCTACTTTTGTTCCTTTTTTCACCTCTTGGTAAAAGTGAAAAAAAATTGATAGTTAAGAGCGTTTGTCGCACGTACATAGTACTTATGATTTTTTTCTTCTCTCGCGCTACTTTTTTAACGATCTCGTCGTCATCTTGAGACTCGACGTGTAGCAGCGTTAAGAGCGCGCCACTCGCTGCAAGTTCGTAATTTTCTTGGATACGATCGTCGTGTTGAAAACTCGTTCGCTTCATTATGTATCGGCGATTATTGCCCTCTTAAACGCGCTCACGTCGAGAAATTTTTTTTAGCTTTTTAATAATAAGAAATTATCCGCGCAGATTGTCGAGAGATATTGCGCCAGGGCACTTGTATATCTCGAATCGATCGAAAACTTTACAAGACGTTGCTGCAATTGCCCCTTGTCCCGATTTCGTTGGTTTTCCTTTCCTTTTTTTCATTCTCATCAAGTCGCGTCGATCAACTTACACCGGCTCTCTACTATCGGTGCTTGAGCGACAGCATCTCTCGAATCATCCTCGCGTCATCGCTCTTTCTCGATATGAGATCGCGACGAGGAGATTCCCTCTATACGCAGAGTGCGTATGTGTAATATATATGATATGATATGAACATCTGACGGCTCAATAATACACAATAATTTTTCTGTGTTGGAGCGATTGTTTAGGTCTCGAGAGCGTATTTCGTTGGCGATATTGGACTTTCAGGCCGATAAGCAGCGATAAGCAAATATCCAATTGCGTATTCCGGATCGATGTCATCGTTGCGCGAGCTGTCGAATCAATCACGTTTTTGGCCTCGGCGAATAAAAAGCTTCTCTTATATTCGGAATATAATTCATATACATATGCGTATAAAATTATTTTGACGCTCTAAAAAGTTCTTCCTTTTTTTCTCGGGGTCACGTAGGTGCAATAATAAATCGAGCCACGCGTGCGGAGCGCGATCAAGAATGCATCGGGCTTCGGCCTGAACCGCTGCTACTTCTGCGCAGGCACGGTAGTGGCGGTGGCACTTGTGACAATAGTCAGTGTGATTCAAAAAGCAATCATTCATTCGCTCTCCTGCTCCCTCGCACTGTCTCTGTCTCTTTCACTCTCATTCGCCGGTATAGCGTGCGTGCATTATAAGCTTTCGGACACGTCGCACTGCGGTGTGAATTTCATCCGCATAATAATCCATGCGGACACTTCGCTTGATGCGCACCGCCACCGACACGGCTGCAGCGCAACGTTCCTTTGTAATCCCTCTTACTCTACTCTCGCCTTTTTTCCCCATTGTCGAGTGCGGCTCGGCAGCTACCACTGAGCCACTGCCGCCATCCGCGATTTTTTTCGGTGATTTTTTAATACGCTCGTGTGTGTGTATATTCTTTGGTTATGTAGTACGTGCATATCTTTTTTATCTTTTTTTTTCTTTACAATTTGAGTGATTGTGATTGCGAGTGAGAGAGAGAAAGAGAAAATTGAAAGTGAAGGATTCTCTGTCGTTTTAATAAAAACATTACGTATGTATATGCAAAATGACTAAGGGAGGGAGCAAAATGACGCAGCAGAAGCCCGTGTCTTTTTATTCTCTCTTACTTTGCGGAAGGCTCATTTTTCCGTTTGTTTTTCTTTTCGCGATTCAGTCCAGGGCTCGTCCTCGCGCTTAATCCCGCATACATGTACAATAAGCGAGCTATGTACACACACACGCTGCACTTGGCTCTCACGAGACTGTGTGCACAACGAAACCTGCCTAGTGGCCGCAGCGTTATAATACACATACCCGCACACACTGGCGCGGCCGAGCTACAAGTTGAAGAATTTACGATGCAATCTCGGAGCAACCCTCTTTTCTCCTCTCTTTCTTAAGTTGCTTCTTTGCTCGTTACGTTTTTCCCTTCTGGCTTGGCTCACGCGCGCAGCCGGAGAGTATGGTAGTCGTCGAGGCTTCGGCGCGTCGACGAGCGCGCGTCTCTCTGACTGGACAGTGCAACAACACTGCAATGCGCGATGCAATGCTCCCCTTTCAGGATTCAATGCCCATGCAAAAGAAGAGCAGGAGCGAGAGAGAGAGAGAGAGAGAGAGACAGAGAGTTTGCAGTGTGCGGCTGCAAAACGAACGCCTGTCAATTATCCGTTATATACGGCTCAGACCCTTGCTATAAGCAGCGCATATAGCAAGAGAAGTTGCATCATATAGCCAACACAGTCTTTCTTTGAAGCAGTAGTAGCAGACCCACATGAGGCACAATATGTGGAGCCACAAGTACCTATATGCCCTCGTATGGCATGCACATACCGAATATGCGACGATAGCTGAAAGTCGCTCACAGTAAAGTGCATCTCATTTTAGTCGTAAGGCCAGCAAAGCCTGCTATATACGTACGAGCGTATAAATGTATATGTTAGTCGTTTTCTTGTTGTCGTCGTCTTCCTCGTCGTCTTTCTCACAAGGTTAAACAGAGCTCCCGAGAGCGTGTCCGTATGTACACGTGATAGTAAATTGTGAGGGAGGCCAGCAGCAGCAACAGCAGAGTATAATTCGGTGCACGTTCGATGCAGATATCGTGAGAGAGAGCGAGAGAGAGAGAGAGAGAGAGAGAGAGAGAGAGAGAAAAGAAAGAGTATTGCACTGCTTCCGAAAGCTGGTGGCAGTGCCGAGAACAGGATCCAGACACACATCTGTTGAAGCTTCCTCTTGGCTCGAGCTCATCGTGATGTCACCCTCGGCACCCGGGAGCTTATGCTGGCAAGCGCGCGCAAAGACTCGAGCGTGCATAACACATATAGAACCAGAGGAGCGAGGCACGAGAGATTTGATGTATATTCTCTCGCGCAGCTGTACCCTCGTGCCTCACCCGCTTGGATGAAGAAGTAACGGCAGTGGCAACAGCAGAAGAAGTCGAATGTAAAACGTGTACTTCATATACACACACACACACACACACTCAGCGTGTACGAGCTGGCGATCCCTGCAAAATCACCGCTGCTATTTCGCTTATGCTTCGCTCTTCTTTCTTTTCTCAGCAGCTCTCGAGAGATAGATATATTAAGTGCAGACGAGTTATATGAGTGATTTCGCGCTTGGTTGGCAAAACAGCGCTCGTGCGCCTGCCAGGATTTATTATGTCTGTACACACTTACGCGCGCATAACCCCCCGCGTAGACTATGTACCTATGCTCTTTTGCTCTCTGGCTCAGTCTCTCTATCTATCGTTTTAATGCTGTTTCGCTGTTTCCAATTTTTTCTTCCCTTTTTTTTTACTCATCTCTTTGGCCGTTCGCTGGACTCTTCGGTACCCGCAAAGAGATATCCTCCGCTAGATGAAAGCTTATGCACGAATTGCGTATATAATACGCATTATAAGTAAGGGAATGTTGCTGCTGCTGCTGCTCTCGACTCGTCGTGGCCTCCATTATCACGATTATCATTATCTGCGAGAGATAGCGAACGAGGATAGAGAGACGCTTTACGATAATACTTTTGATGTTTATTGCTGCTTTTCTGCTACCGGAGCTTACTCGTAGTGCGCCTTGTGCACTCGTAACTGCTGCAACCTTCTCGACGGCAGCCAGGAGCAACATGTTTATAATGCTAAAAATAGGACAGCAGCTCTTATGAAGGGGCAAACCTAATACTGCATTAGTGCAGCAGCAAAAGCTCGCAACTCGCAGCTCGTCTTAGGGATGTTCGTGTTCCACACATACAGCAAGAGCGCGCGTAAGCAAGAGTAAGAAGCTGTGCAGCTATTGCACCAAGACGCCGCTAGCGTATATGAAGCGATTAATAATTCATGCGCGCGCGATCGAGAGCTGAGAGCCGCCGCTACTAACGCAACACCGTCCACTGATGAGATTATTAATGCTAATTTCGCCATTTTACCCGATTGCCTCGAAGGCCATCCGCGTAACCAAGCTCTCATAATGCCCCGGCCACCACCGATGCGCATCCAAGTAGTCCCTTCTATGACTTATATTATAGAGAGATGTATATCTGGAAGCTTGATCGACTTTAGCAACACGGTAAAAAAACAACAACATCCACGCGTTCGAAAAGTAAAAACCTGCGTTCGTTGCGTTGAATTGCCAACGAAAATTAATCCCTTGGTCGTCGCAGTGCAGACACCTTTGTGACAAAATACACGTACCCGACTGAGTCAGAGAAAGAATTCGTGTTCTGTGTGATTATAATTTCATTATCACGAACATCGGGCGAGCGAGCACTTTTATACATTTGTCTACAAACTACACGTGCATAATATTTTGTTAATATGAAAAAAATCTGTTTCGCATCCATTAATGTCTGTTTTTTCTTCTGTGTTCACAGGTAAGCGTTGCGAGTCGACGTAGTAGCTTTACGAACGAGCACATTAAATTCTTCAGTGGCAAAGTGAACAACGAAATCGAGAGTAATAATAGCGAAAGCAGGAGGAGGAGGAGGAGGGACGAGGAGGAGGCTGCGAGAAGGCAGCGGAGGGGGATTTGGAGTTGGAGCAGCAACGGCCACGAGGAGGAGAGCAACGACGAAAACAACGACGTGGTGGTCGTCGCTGGGACAGCAATCGAGCCGAGTATGGATGACAGCGACTGGTTCGACGGTGTCGAGGAGATACAATACAGTTACGCAGCCGATCGCTACGACGATTACGACGTCGATTCGCTGTTCGCGATAGTTAGCAGTTTCGTGCCGCCGCCACCCAGGCCGCCCTACCTGCCCGACGAGTCACTGCCCACTGACGGCCTCACCACTTGTGATCTATGTTCCTGGGCCCTCAGGAACGATAGGTACTCCTTTTCGCTCGATGGTACGATCGGTGAGTTTTTTTACTACTTAGAGTCCTTCTGCACGCACCGATTCAATTTTGCTTCGCACTGTGCTACTTTTCTATCAATTTTCATTGGCTGCAGTAGAATTTTTTCTCTTGCTTCCCTATCTCTCTCTCACTCTAGCTACAATCGATCTCTTTCTTTTTACCTTTTGCCTATTTTTTCTTTTTCCAAATTCGCGCTACTTTTAGACATGGAGTAAAGAGCTTCTATTAGTCAAATGAAACCATTTTACTGCTACACGTAGTATATATGCTTGTAGTCAGCGTCCGAATCGCGATTTACTTTTCTCTCTCTCTCTCTCTTTGGCCATTATCGCGTGTTATACGTCCGTATAAAGCAGGAGGACATAGAAAAAGAGGACGTTCTCGAGAGGTAGGTTAAGATAAGCGCTTGCGCGGCAGGCAATCGAAATCATTTGCCTTTCTCACGCTGACTGTTTCAAAGTCTAGTCCCGTATGGTTGTATCTCGATAATCTTTGATGAATTTTTTCTCTCGTCTGCCGTAAAAATAATTTTTACGAATTTTAATGTCAAATGCATGAAACACGACGGTATCTAAACCCCGCCAAGTTTGCCTATATGCGTAAACTCGCTACGGAAGTGTGCAACGCGCCAGAAAGGTAAAAGACCATTTATATTGTCGAAAAGAGCTATATAGCTTTATGTATACAAACACACTGGTATAGTTACACATGAGCAGCCTATATATATGCGCTACTGTGTGGGTGCGAGTGTATGTGCGTGTATGCTGTGCACAGAGAGCGACGTGACCGCCATTTGTTTTGGCCTCCCAAATAAATTTCCTCCTCCGCTTCGCGTGCTCGCAGCAGCACACCATTACGTACACACGCGCGCGCTCGTACATGCGCATGCCTATATAGATACGTATGTATATCGCATAGCATTCGCTTAATCCTAAAGCCCACCCAAAATCGGATGAAAAATAAACAGCGATACTGGCGTGATTTTAATTGTAAATGGGAATATAGTGTATATGAAAAAACGAGCCGAGCATAAAGGATAAAAGTGTCGAAAAGGGAGAGACTGCGCTGCTCGTAATATATACAATTTTTTTATTTTCGGCTTGCATATATTATATTATATTATATGCCATGAAAGTCGCTTTCGCGGCGGTGGTGTGAAGTGCAGCGATCGCTTGTTACACACAATGGCCAGAACAGTGTGCGGCCGACTTTGAGTATAGTTTCATTCAATTGAATTCAATCCAATTCTGCGCGCGTGTACATGTACTGTAGCAAAGGACTCACGATATACAGGTCTACATATAATACACATGCGCAGAGTTGGAGAGGCGCACATGCACGCACACAGCTCCTTTCCAAACAAATGTCAACAAATAATTGACACCGCGAAATTCGCGCGCTAACGACCCTGCGCTCTCGTCGATTCTTTCTCTCTTTTTCCCTTGTGCGCGCGCGCATTTACTCTATGTGTGTGCGTGTGTGTAAGTGTTGGTGCACTTGTGTTATATGTGCGCACAGGAACAACTCTCGGAAACATTAGCGCCGCGCGCGCGCGCGCGCAAGAGATCTCGCTTGCTGATAGCACTCTTATCCCTCCCTCCCTCCTTCTCTCTCTCTCTCTCTCTCTCTCTCTTTCACTCGCATGCGTGCGTGAATTTTCGACCAGAATCAACTGAATATTTTTAACCCCGTGCTAATTCTTTGCTTCTACAGTTACAGTAGTAGTATAGCCTCGCTTGCAATCTCAGACGACGATCTCCAGCTCTTTCTCTAACCGCAAGCGTAGATTTACGTACGCCCTGTGTGCATTTATGTGTGTATGTATGCGTGTGCACCATAGAACGGAGTGAGAGAAAGAGAGAAAAAGAGAGGCGATGCCACGTTGCAAACATACATCTCTCTGCCAAGAATATTGCCAAGAAGAAGCCAAAAGTACCATGCTCTGTTTGTACGTGAGTGCGTAAGAGAGATGAAAAAAAGAAGTTTGTGGTAGCAAGGGTGGGAATTTTCCTCAGAAATCGCGCGCGCAAACGAGCGAACGAGCACCTTACGATTGCCGTGATGCTATCTGGCATCCAACTTTGATATACATACAAACCAATATTGAGGTGTATACTCACGGACGCCTTAACATGCCTTTAAGGTGAGATAATGTTACCAATACAGATATATGTGGATTTGATGTGCAACTGTTAGCGCATAACTATCGGTTCTTTACTTTTTCGCGTTTTTAAGCGTCTTCGTGAAGGACAAATGGAATGCCGAAACATAAACGCATTCTGATGTGAAACTCAAATTTGATAGAAAATAAAAACTTTCAACTTTCCGCACTGGTAGAGCCGTCAATGTTGCCTCGTTCTTTTCAATAATCTCAAGATCAACGTTTTTTTCTAATAATCTAAAGGACTTTTATTTTAAACAGAGTTGCAGCCTACACATGAATTAAACATGCTTTGAGATGTACAACAGGCTTGCAGACGAGTTGGTGAACCCAACAACGAAGAACAGCTTGGCGCGATTTGTTTATTTCTTTCTTTTTCTAGGCTGACACATAAATATAAGTGCGATTTTTCTCTATAAAATTGAAATCATTTGTGAAACAAGTTTGCTTTTTTTTAGCAAATATATGACACTTTAATCCGTATTAAATACACAGAAGCAGAGAAAAGATTACTCAAGTTTTGTGACAAACCTTGACAGAGAGAAAGAGTATATATTATATCAAGTTAGGGGTCACATTAGAGTAATGAAGAAGAATGAGTAAGAGAGAGAGAGAGAGAGAGAGAGAGCGCGCTAAAGCAAGAGGAGCACATAATGTGTATAAAAGCAAAAAAAGTAATCCTCTTGGCGTTTTTTCTCTACAGCAGATGTCACACGGAGCGTATATATACATAAGAACAAGCGAGGGAAGGATACTTCTGGGCGAGTAGATTTAGAGGTAAATTCCTGCAGGGATTATCTAATTGTATAAATGAGATACTTTAGGGTCAGGTCCGTTCGTATATACATTGAAAAAATGTGTTCAAAGTCGTGTATGCGTGTATGCTGACTAGAGGGATGTCGAAGGCAGACAGGCAAACGTATTCAGTCACTGTGTGCATGTGCGGGGGTATATGTATAAATATAAACATAATATATATATACACACGTCCTCTTGACGTCAATCTCTTTCTGTTTGCCTCGTCTGCATACGCACGCGTATACATGAAGTCGCGCGCGTAGAATTCAATTTCCGTAATCGGCTTTTATACACGTGTAGCTAGCTGCAGCTACACAATAGAAAACGCGAGAGCAATCCCAACGACAAGGTAAAAAAAAGGAGCCAAAAAAGTTTCTAAAGGCAACACTTTCACTGCAACTGCCACTACTGCCGATGCTCTTCTTTTTTTTTGCTGACTGCGCGCGATTGAATGTGTGTGTGTGTGTGTGCATTTGTTACAAATACACATAGGTAGACAGGAGCTCTGCCGAGTCACATAGCTCAACGACCAAAATCCTTCAATTCAAACGAGTTTCGCAAAAGAGAGCTCTAGCTCTCGCCTGCCACATAGCAAGGAACCCTTTACATAAATTATCCTCCTCTTCAAACGTATACAACACGACGCGAGCGCAGTAGTGCCTGCAGTAGCAGCGGCAAAAACGTCACACTTTTGTATAGGCACATTTAAGAGAAAACGTTAGTTCCCACTTGAAGTCGCGCCAGTAGTAAGAGTGACGACTGCGACGACGACTCGCCAACAAGACTGCAGGTCAACTGCGATATAGCCAGTATAAATGTATAAATTGTGCGGCTGCATCTGCCGCGTCAATCAACAAATCAACGCTTTACTCTTGGCACACATAGGTATAGGCATAGCATCGGGAGCAGCAGCTCCGCTCTACGATTGAAATCTGGCCTGCTTTTCACGCGGCTACTATACGCGCCAGCAAACGTCGAGACACCGTTAGCGCACTTTTTTTTGTCCCGTGCAGTCCAACGTTTTGTTATTGTTATTATTGTTATATGCTTTTTTTTATCTATCATCTCGGAGGAATAATAGCTATACGCGGCTGTCTGTGAATTGTGTTGATTTTATCGTGCGGCACTGCACTGGCACGCAGACGCATCATCGATATAAATTGACTTTTGCGTTGGCGAGAGAGTTTATCGCTGGACGTGTGCACGAGGCTATGCTTTTGGATTTATGATGGCACGTACGCGCGCAAAAGAGAGGGAAAGATCGAGAGATGTGCATTGTTCGAATTACGCGTAATGCAGCGCATGTATGTAGGCACAGCTGGGCGCATAGATGAATAACGACAGGGGAAATGCATTGGTTGGGCTGTTGATCCGTCGTTGATTGTTGTTCCGTGGCAACGGCGCTGGCAGCTATGACTGAACCGCAAAACAGAGGGCGTAATTAAAAAATACCAATAACAATTGTACACACGCGACCGCTCATGCGCAATCAGTGCTCCTATAGAAAATTTCGTTATAATTTCGGCTGCTTTGTGTCTAGTGCCTCTTGTCGTTGTCGTAGTTGTTGTTGTTGTTGTTGCTGTTGTTGTTGTCGTCGTTGTCGTCACCGCAGACGCGCGTGTCTCTGCATTTGTCAACTGCAGGATATAGCGCTTCGATAATCGCTCAATTAGGACACGCGAGCGCATTTGAAATAGGCTCCATGCGATGCGCGCCTGTATCGGAATTATAGCCGTCGTCTGCAGAACAAACCAACGAACGAGCGGAGGGTGATGATTTTCGACGAGATCTACGCGAACACGTGGGCTTAATCGCGTCAATCGCTACAGACAGGACGCATAGACTGAGCGGTTCAAGTGCTGTACTGCGTTTGGGTGTCTATGCAGCACCCCGCGGTCGTCGGACGATGCAGGTCTCTCTTTCAGTTACTTGTTCCAGGAGAAAAAAAGGAGGCCGTTGAGCGACACCGAGTTTTCGAGCGAACGAAGAATAATTGACGGCGCTGTAGATTTTAGATACTGTTTATGCTGCGATGATGCTC